ACATTAAGCTCTAGCTTACCTAAAATTACAAAACTCAAGAGCCCAATTCATTGGCCTTTCGGCACCCACCCCACCACCTACGTAATGCCTTGGGCTCCAACTTAGTAATAATAATATAAAGCTTAAACCCTAAATCTATTAATGAGTATGTGTTACAACGTAGCCTTAACCTACCTATTCATTACATTACGGTCCTAGCTTACCTAAAATTACAAAACTCAAGAGCCCAATTCATTGGCCTTTCGGCACCCACCCCACCACCTACGTAATGCCTTGGGCTCCAACTTAATAATGATAATGTAAAACTTAACAATTAACCTACCTATCGATACACTTACAGCGTTTTAATTTACATTACAAGATTTTTCCTAGAATTACATTATTGCTCTTAACTACCTATGAAATTAAATTACTCTCAACCCTAGTAATAATAAATTAGAATGTGTAATGAAAATAAAATTACGCTCAAATACTAACATATGTGTTTATGTGTGTGTTTGTGTAATACGCTGGTGCGTGTAATGTGGGTGCAAGATAAAATAGAAGAGATAAACTTACGCTGCCTACCTATTCAACTACATTAGTGTTGGATGCTCTCTATCTATCCTACCTACAATTAAAATTAGGCCTATCTAACCTACCTATATAGCTACTTAATGTAATTGTGTGTGCGTGTGTGTGCGTGTGAGCATTCCTATTTAATGTTAAATTACAGAAAAAAAGAAGAAAACGTATCCCAGTCAGGCAGGTATTCTTTGCCACTGAATGAACGAACGATGAACGATGAACGAACGATGATGAACTCCTCTAGAAGCTTCAACCTGAATGAAATGAAAAAATCCTATTTAATTAATTAATTTAAATGAAAATAGAGAAACGAGCCGCGGTGAAATCCACCAGCCGGAAAAGCCAGCAAACTGGCAAAAAATAAACCGTTAAGAAACCGTAAAGTCGGAAGTTAGGGTTAAGGTTGAACGTAGGGTGAGATCACAACCATTCTGATCCTCCACGACGAACTCCTCTGGAAGCTATAACCTGAATGAATGAACCTGAATGAACCTAGATGAATGGACAAATCTTATTTATTCAATTAATTTAAATGAAAATAGAGAAACACAAAGAAGCCGACCGGTCGGCAAAGAAAAGAACCGCAAAGAACGGTATCTATATAACTCTATATAACTCTATATAACTCTATATAACTCTATATAACTCTATATAACTCTATATAACTCTATATAACTCTATATAACTCTATATAACTCTATATAACTCTATATAACTCTATATAACTCTATATAACTCTATATAACTCTATATAACTCTATATAACTCTATATAACTCTATATAACTCTATATAACTCTATATAACTCTATATAACTCTATATAACTCTATATAACTCTATATAACTCTATATAACTCTATATAACTCTATATAACTCTATATAACTCTATATAACTCTATATAACTCTATATAACTCTATATAACTCTATATAACTCTATATAACTCTATATAACTCTATATAACTCTATATAACTCTGCATACTACCACATTCAAACAATAAAAATCCCACTAAAACCAGGAACCACCGCGTACCTGCTGAATGTATGATGTGAAACAAAAAAAAACACAAAACAAAAATCACACCACCAAGTAGAGTAAAAGAATAGGAGTCCCTAACCTACCTATGTAACTAAATTACCTTATGCCCTAGCCTACCTATATAATAAATTAATTTTTACCTCACCTACCTATGCTTCATTAACTTAACTCAAGACTCATGAAGAAAGAGAAAAAGGAGTAAAACAGAACATAAAATACTACCACACAAACAAACATGATGTATGTATGTATGAGCAACCGCTAAAGAACCCACCTAAAATATAAAAAAATACAACACACAAACCACAGACATGCAAACTCTATATAACTCTATATAAAATAAAATTAAATAAAAATAAATAAATTTAAAAAATATAAATATAAAAAAATGAGATCAGGCACTCCGACTCGAGCGAGGCAGAAATGCCTGATCTGATTTCAACGTTTTTTCAGCTCCTATTTATACTCGTTTCAACCATACATTTTCATCATTTCAATCATTCACATCAGTAAAAAACTTATTTAATGTAGGTACTACACTATCATACAGTCTTAACAACAATGCTAACCGTACTAAATTGAAGTCATCGAACAAACGCCTTCGAAACTTTCTGGTTGGTTGGTTGAATCTGCTATATTGCTTTTCATATAAACATAATCTAATATAATATAATTTAATTATTTGTATACATGGATTCCAGTCACTTTATATATATATAATAAAAATTCATTATAAAAGCAACAGTAATCAGTGCTATATATGTAAGCACGCAGTTCAAATTTTTCGGGGAGAATTCAA